CGATGTTTCTCTCTCATCGATGTTTCTAACTCTCTATCCCTCTCCCTTCTTCTCTGTGGAAAATCAATAAAATATATTTAAAAAAATAAAATAAAAATAAAAATAAATTGTGGTCACCTAGCATGCCTCCTCATCCTGCCCTGGTGGTAAGCTTTTCCCAGGATTTCCCACGGCTGGGTGCCTAAAATGGAAAAAGAAAATGAGGCCTTTCTATTTGGATCCTTAAGGATGTGACTAAGGCAGGGCCCTCCCTCCCAGGATTGGTAAATAGGCTATTCTGTGTCTCCCTTGAGATGTAGAAAGCCAGCGTTTGTCTGTGCTTGGGAATTTTTAAAGGATGAAACGCGTGAGAAAGCCGAGGCTTTGCTGAAGAAGCTCCACATTCAGTACCGGCGATCAGGCACAGAGGCCGTGCTCATAGCCCACAAGCTGAACACGGCGGAGTACCTGCGGGTGATTGGAAAACCAGCACACCTCATCGTCAGTCTGTACGAGCATCCGAGCATCAACCTCAGAATTCAGAATGCCTCTGGCAAGGACTACCCCGGTGAGGACAGCACCCTTGCTATCTTGTCGTCCAAGGAGAGCTATCATTTTGATTCCCAGTTCTCTTGCATTGAGAATGTGGACTTTTCTTTTTTTAATTCTTCATCTTGAATATTTTAGATATTCACGCAGCAGCTAAAGAAATAGCCGAAGTCAATGAAATTAATCTGGAAAAAGTGTGGGACATGTTGCTGAAGAAATGGCTGTGCCCATCCATAAAACCTGGCGAAGTAAGTTTATCCTCAAGAGTATCTTTCATATCTGTTGTCTCACACTGGGAGAACCTTCTGCTTAGGAGCACAGGATCTTAAAAGAAGAAACCTTTGTTCGGTTTAGTGCCTCCTATTATCTGATGAGTTTTAATGACGTTGTTTACTTTTTTTAAAATATGTGTATTTTTAATGATTTCAGAGAGAAAGGGAGAAAGATTTTTAAAAAAATCAGTGATGAGAGAGAATCATTGATCGGCTGCCTCCTGCACGCCCCACATTGGGGATCGAGCGCACAGCCCGGGCATGTGCCCTGGTTGGGAATCGAGCCGTGACCTCCTGGTTCATAGGTGGATGCTCAATCACTGAGCCACACCGGCTGGGCCAAGCTGGGCCACTTTTTCTTTTAGCTTAAATATTGTTTTGCAACTATTTCTACCTTTTAATTGGTGATTCCAGGTGAATATAGGTATAAAAGAAATGGCCTGTTCTTACACTCGGATTCATGGATTTACTTTATTCTGAAGTAATTTCAATCATACAGAAAAGTTGCAGTAGTATGAAAGAATTCCTGTCTATTCCTCACCCAGCTCCATCAGAGTTCAACGTTTTCCCATATTTGCTTTATTACTCTCCCCATAATATATATATATATATATTCATAATATTTTTCTGAACCATTTGAGAGTAAATTGCATATGTCTTGCCCCTTTACCCTTTAATAGTTACGAGCACATTTCCTAAGAACAAGGCTTTTCTCTTACTTAACCACAGTATAATTATCACAGTCAGATAATTTAATATTGACATAATATTGATACAATACAAACAGACTTGAATCTATAGTTCATGTTACAATTTAACCATTTGTCCCAAAAATGTTCTTTATAGCAAGTTTTCCTCCTGGGACCAGGATCAAGTTCAGGATTATGTGCAACATTTATTTGTTACATTTGTAATCTCTTTTAATCTAGAACAGTTCCATAACTTTTCCTTGTTGTTGGTGACACTGACATTTTTAAAGAAAAGAATCCAGTTATGTTCTAAGCTGCCCCTCAGTTTGGATTTGTATAACTTTTTCTCATTTTAAGATTCGAATTATGCATTTTGGGCCAGAGTACTACCTAAACGATATTATGTCCTTCTCAGGGTATGACATTTGGCCCAGAAGTCTGTTTGCCCTAATACGTGAGGTTAATTTACTTAGCCCTGGCTGGTTTGGCTCAGTGGATAGAGCGTCATCTTAGGGACTGAAGGATTCTGGGTTTGATTCTGGTCAAGGGCACATACCCAGGGTGCGGACTTGATCCCCAATGGGACGCATGCAGGAGGCACCTGATCAATGATTCTCATCATTGATGTTTCTATCTCTCTCCCTCTCTCTTCCTCTCTGAAATCAATGAAAATATTTTTTTAAATAAAGTGTAATGCAAATAAACCTATTAAAAAAAATTAGATACCTTAGTGAAAATATTGTCTATTTCTCTATTACACAATTACTGTGTTTCCTTTTGTAATTATTAGAGAGAGGTACTTTGAAACAGTATATTTTGTTTCTCTTCAAACTCCTCCCCCACCACGCATATGCCCCAATTTGACGTCTATTGATAATTCTTTTTTTACGATTTATCTTTGTTGTTGAAAGTATTACAGATGTCCTCTTCCCCCCCATTGACTCCCGCCACCTCACTCCGCCCCTTCCCCAGGCCTTCACCGCACTGTTGTATGTGTCCATGAATTCTCACTTAAACCTATATTAACTCTGACGGACACTGTTTCAGAAGGGTGCAGGCCAGTTTGGTTTGTAAAAGGTCTTATGGTGGGTTTGCCGATGTCAGTTTTTTTAGGAATATCAGTAAATCTAAATTTATGGAGGGATTCAGCAATCCAAAGGCAGAAATGTCTGTACTGTTTCCTCTAAGTATTTACCAAGAACAAAGTCTGTGCTTCAGGGGGCACAGAGGAGTCAGGGGCACATCTAGGCCCTTCAGAGTGTGTGGTTGACTCAGGAACCAGAATGGTTTAACCTACAGTTTTGGAGTTCTAAACCGAAAAGTTCCTCCACAGCACCTAAAACATTGCTTTGTAAATCCCATGAAAATATACTGAATTAGTGAGCGACTCATTCGAAATTCATAGCGTCCTTTTCTTCTAAAAATTACCCAATGGCTGTAGCTTCAGGAGGAGAGGACGGGAGGGTAGGTTTTGTTTGTTCAGGGAGCCCATGTGCCCAGAACGATGCCTGGCACCTAGTGAGTGCTCAGTATTTTCTTTCCTTTTTTTAAAATATAATTCTTTATTATTGAAAGTAGTATACATATCTCCTTTTTCTCCCCTTGACCCCCTCCAACGCCCCCCCAACACACACACACATCCCGCTCCCCCCGCACCAGACCTCACTGCCCCATGGTCTGTGCCCATGGGCCATGCATATATGTGCAAATATTTTCTTAACTGAATGAATGTTAGTAAACCCATTTTCTAAGCAAGAAAAAATAGTGAATTGTACTGAAATTTCTTGCATGTAGACAATTTTTATATTGGGTTTTTCTTCTAATAGATTTTCCATAATTTTATCTAGCTCAACAAACTTTATTAAGTCTTGACTTTTTTTTCTCCTTTTTTACTTTCTCAAAGAACCCATCAGAAATATTTGAACTTCAAGAAGATGAAGCACTGCGAAGGTATTCTTTCTTTGCTTATATTTACCCATATCCTCTTGCCCAGTCGGAATCTTACTAGTAAATTTGTCAGAGGTAGGTTTTGAAAACCCTTTCCTGATAGAGCTTGGATCAGTCTCTGAGAAGAATCAGTTCTTTGATATGTGGCTGTGAGCAGGTATAAGTATCTGCAGCGCAATAAATAAGCAGCAGCCAAGATTCAGAATTTCTGAACCTTCGACGAGTTCCTACTAATGTCGAGGCCTCTGAGAACACCTTTAGCAGAGAGTGCGCCTCAGGCCAAGGAGAGCTTCCAATTAGCCGAGACCTAGGCCCAAGCCCCCTTTACGTTCTCTCCGCCTGGTGAGCTGGGCTGGCTCAGCCGGGGGCCACCCGGGTTTCTTCTCCCTCCCAACCTGAGCCTGAGACCAGAGAAGGCACCTCGGTCTCACCCAGTGCTCTGCTCGGTCTGACTGCTCACGACCTGCTCTCCTGGGAAGACTGTCTGGGCCGGAATCAGAAAGAATGTGGTAACCCATTAGCGCTGCTTGGCCCAGGCGTGGGAGCGGGCGTGGTGACACCCAGGCTAGCTTTCTGCCATTCCTGGTCTCGGCCACCAGTAGGTCAGGTCCCCCCGGAAGCCCTGCATCAGCCCCAGAGATCTGAGAGGACATGGAAGGACCAGCCCAAGGAAGGAATCTCTCCTGGTTCGGACAGAGCTGGCCTGCCCCCCGCCCACCCCACCCCCCATGGCATCCTGGCCTCTGGACTTCACTGAGTGCTGGCACAGTGTTGGGGGTGGAGGCACCTTTGGCTAAGCATGAGGCAGGTCCTAGGATGTCTGACTAAATTAGCCACAGGGAAGTCGTGGAAACAACTGGGAGAGAGAGAATCCCTAGAAAAGAGCCCAAAAGGGATTTTTCCTTCATGCCAATTGTGTAACTTCCGGCCTTTTCCCACTGGAAGCTCCACGCCCCCCACAACTGCCCAGTACGCCGGTGCCACTGATCCCATCCTGTAACTGAAAACAACCTCCATGTGCAGTAGTTGGTGTATTTTGCAGCTATGGTTTGTGTTAATTTCTTACATAGAATTTAAATGATCAGAGATCAACTAGCCATTTGATGGATGAGAAGACTGTTTATTGTGTTATCATCTAGGTAAAAGGGAAAGCAAAAATGGCCTTGACCCATAACCCTTCAGATCTCTGTTTGGGATGCCTAATGACTTTCTCTGTGTATCTAAATATAACAACTTTTAAACAACTTTTTTCAGAGTCCTGTATCTCCTCCAGTCTCGTCCGATTGATTATAGTTCAAGATTGCTGTTTATATTTGCAACATCAGCTACAACTGTAAGTCCTGGGAACTTAGTCAAAACTCATGTCCTGCATCTCAGCTTAATATTTTTCTCTGCATACTTGCCATGCTCGATATCATTAACAGGTGATTAAGATAATGCTCACTTGTGTGCTTATTCAAAGTATGCCTTACTTTGTAATATCTGCCAAACTCCATGTAGTGCTGGCTTCTGTAACATCCCACTTAGCAGACCGAATGGTGTGCCAGTTCCCACAGGTTATCTACACTCACGGTTGCTAACTCCCTGGTTGGTCAGCATTCCTGATAGCGAGGGGCCAACCAGAGAAAACTCCACCCTGGCCTTGGGGCCCTGCGCAACCAACCGGCTTCCCCTCCAGTCACGCACTGAATTTGAGGTGGACCCACCCATCCCTTTTGCTTCCCCTAAAGGCAGCAAGGCCTCTTTGCTTTCAGGCTTGTGCATGTGCGGAGGCCATTGGACCCCAGGGAGACAAAGGTGTAGCTAGAAGGATAGGAGGAAGGAGAGGGGGAAAGTGTGAGAAGCTGAGGGTGTGTCCTCGACAGCGAGAGGGAATTTTCCCCTTTTTTCATGCATATCAGTTATTATTTCAGGTAAAAATGGCTTTCCAGGAAAAGTGGCTCTCACTTTCCCCTGAAAAACCATCACGTTGCAGTATGCCTGAGGCACACTTCCTATTTTGTCAGACAGAATATTCATGAGTACATTTTAATTAATATTCAGATGTGAGCTCTTAATCTATTCAAGAGTTGAGGTTTAATCAGATTAATTTTTACTGCTTCATCAAACCTTCTTGAGTGGAGGTCATCGCTCATGTTCAGTGCTGCCACTGCGGGCTGCCGCCACAGGGGGGCGTCCCTTCCTTGATTTGAACCAGCAGTGTTATTAGAACAGCTTTGACCGTTCCCTCCTGAATGAGTTCGAGGAACACTCCTCAGGGTTCCATGGACCACACTTTGCCAACTACTGACTCCCTCAGAATGGAGATTGACTTTAAATGTTTTTAAAATGATGTTGCTTGTGTTACCTGAGTTTTGACTCAGGCACAGCATGCAAACATGCAACTCCCCGTACATGTTTGGTTTTACAGACACTAGATATGGGTCAGTTAACCTTTGCCCACAGAACACGGGCTCTTCAGTGTCTCCTGTATTTGGCTGACAAGGAAACCATAGAATCGCTCTTCAAAAAGCCCATCGCAGAAGTCAAGTGAGTAGACTTTTTAAATCGCGTTAAGAAATAGGCAACAACAAGAAGAAAGAGCAGCAGGTCGTTGTTTGGGAGGGCAGCTGGCAGGGCCGTGGATAGGAAGAGGGCATTAGCGAGGCGTGGGAACGGACCTTGGGTGTCCTTGACATGGCGGCAACAGGGGAACAGGCCTGTGAGAAGCCCTCCTTCCCCTCGCTCCTGCGAGACCTTTAGACACTGAATGTTTTCTGCCTCTTGCTCAAACTGATGTCTTCCTAATATTATATTCAGTGGATCTTTTCAGAAACCCAGAATAGGCATTTAAAAGCAAACAGGCCTAATTTATCCAGATGGTGGCTTTTATTTTAAGTGTAAACGTGGCCTAAGAGGATGTTTACTGTGAATGCCTCTGTTTTCCAGATCTTACTTGAAATGTATAACTTTCCTGGCTTCTTTTGAGATGTTGAATATCCCCATCACCTATGAATTATTTTGCAACAGTCCTAAGGAAGGCATGATTAAGGGCCTCTGGAAAAACCACAGCCACGAGTCCATGGTATGTACACCGAGGCACCCGTCACCGCAGCTTTGAAAGACAAAACCAGAGAAACTATTCCCGGGCAGGTCTGCGGCTGTGAGAGCTTGTCTTCTGTCCTGTCCTGGCGGGTGACAAGGCGACTTGGCGTCTTCCCTCTCTTCCTGAAGGCTCAGGCCACCCCTCTCAAGAGAAAGCATCCTGCCCCAGGCCTGTCTCTCCTCGTCCGGACGAGAGAAGAGATGGCCCTGGGTAGGAGCGGGTAGAGCTTCACCTCCCCCTTGTTGTCTGTGGGAAGTCAGTGTCCGAGGCAGTCGGAGCCCAGCTGGGCCGGATGCCTTTGGCAGAGGTGGTTTGATTGTCTGGTGCCGGAGAGCAGTACGACTTTCCTCTCTCCTGTAGGCAGTGAGGCTGGTGACTGAGCTTTGTTTAGAATACAAAATCTATGACCTGCAGCTGTGGAACGGACTCCTGCAAAAGCTTCTTGGCTTCAACATGGTAAGACTTGGTACCCTCCCCTGCAGTGTCGTTGCCAGCTCCGGCCCGGCGGCGCTTCAGCCGCTGCCGGCGATGCTCGCTGCTGAACGGATGCATGCTGCAAACGTCACCCTCCCTGGCTCAGGACTCCGTGTGAGGCCAGAGAAAGTGCAGACTCAGGATGATGCAGATCTCCCAGGAAACAGGGAGGGAGGGCTCCCTGGCCTCGTTTGATGTCCGTGGATGTATAAGCACACTGCTCCGGTGGTTCTCAGGGAAGATGGATTTGACTGATACTCCCTTGGAAAGAATCCGATACCTCATGTGGAAATTTTCTGTTTTGGTGATCTTTGGAACTTTTCGTTTTTTGTTTATTTTCCCACAGATTCCTTATCTAAGGAAAGTGTTAACAGCCATTTCTAGCATCCATTCTTTGTGGCAGGTATGTAACTTTTTTCTTAAGTAAGTTTTATAGAATTTAATCTCTATACTCTCTGGCCTGGTGACTCCTGGGCACGCCCGGTTAGTGATTGTCTCCTTAATAAAGGACAGAACTGATCTGCTAGGGATGATGTTCCTGACAGTGGTGCTCACACTCGGAACACTCAGCGCCCATGTCACCTCCTCCAAGACCTCACTGTCCCCCGTTCTCTAGGCCCCGTGCGTCACACACCAAAGCGCTGACTCATCTGTGATGGTTGTCAGAGCACCATTTACCCTAATTACACGTTCGACCACCCCTCGTGGACTTTGAAGATCTTTAAAGTCAGAGACCACGTCATTTTTTTCTAAATTTCATAAGTTGTGCACCCACATCATCATTATCACATAAAAATATATAATGTATTGGTGTCGTTCAGATTGTTACATATCAACACATATAGATCTCTTTTTTTTTTAATTAAGATACACACACACACACACACACACACACACACTAGCCAGTTTGCCTCAGTGGATAGAGCCTCAGACCTCGGGCTGAAGGGTGCCGGGTTCAATACCAGTCAAGGGCACATACCTCGGTTGCAGGCTTGATCCTTGGCCCTGGTCAAGGCACATGCAGGAGGCAACCAATCAATGGGTCTCTCACATTGATGTTGCTCTCTCTCTCTGCCTCTCCCCCTCCCTTCCGCTCTCTCTAAAAAGCAATGGAAAAATATCCTCAAGTGAGAATTAACAATAAAAAAAATTTATAATTCACATGTAAAATTCACCCTTTTAAACGTACAACTAAAGTTGGTCCGACGGTTGTGGGTTATTGTTAAACTGATTAACATAAATGTACAACTAAGTGGGGTTTTGGGGTTTTTTTGTTTGTTTGTTTGCTTTTGAGAGAGAAATGTTAATTTGTTGTAACTAAGCTACCCGGCCAGGGCTGCTGAAAAATTATCCTACAGTCTAATCACCTCAAACACGGAGGTATCAGTTGAGGACTTTGGTTGAGCATCCAGCATGTGAGCTCGGGGTGTGCGTGTAGTGACTGCCCAGTGGCCTCTGCTGGCCCAGGCGTGCGTTCTGACACACGTGTCCCCACAGGTGCCCTACTTCAGCAAGGCCTGGCAGCATGTGGTCCAGGTCCCGCTGCTTTCAGGTACGTCCCCTCCTCTGGGCCACGGAGGGCCGCGTTTGGTGGTTGTGCGTGTGTATACATGTTTTTGTTTCTTTATTTTCAGCCTCTTGTCCTTTAAGCCCCAGCCAGTTATCAGATTGTTGTGAGAGTCTCATTGCTATTCTCGAGTAAGTGAAATATTTGTTTTTCTACCAAAAAAAAAAAAAAATCCCATTTATTGCTTGTGAAATTCCTTTTCAATAGATATCTGTTACAGGGTAGTTTCTTTTTCTTGGGAAGGTAAACATACCACTTGCTTTTAAATTAAATCTCTTATTTTTATAATGTCTACTTTCCACGTGTGGTACCACTGGTAACCGGATATGCGATTGGTCCCCAGTTTCAGTGTGAGTCTAGGGTACCGTTTGTGACCGCCCTGAGTGACAGACACAGTGTTGTCTCAGAGGACGTGTGTCTTTATGTGGCAGCTTTCAGACATAATCCTAGCAGCAGCCAGTGGTCTGCATTCCTGTGGGTAGATCCTTTGACTGCGGGAAGAACACCATAGCAGACGTGAGTTGCTCGCTGCTAAGCAGGTGTTATGCACAGCACTTGAGTGTCTTAAGATTACTGAAAGCATAGGCAAGTAACAAGTGCGGACCACAAGAAACAAGGGACTCGGCCAGTGTCATCTCGTGACTAATCGTGTGCTCTCTCCAAGATGTCCCGTTTCGGATGATCTCGACATGGTTGGAGTCGCCAGGCAGTACGTCCAGTTAGAGCTTCCAGCTTTTGCGTTAGCCTGTCTCATGCTCCTGCCCCACTCAGAGAAAAGACACCAGCATATCAAGGTATCCGGGAAAGTATGCTCTGGGGCTGCCAAAGAAATGGAAGGTCATAGAACTGCATGTCCCCCGAGAAAGGTTGCGTGTTCTTTTCACCAAACCAGCAGAGCAGGGGCACATCAGTGTGGACAGGGCAGGATTGTGGGGTGGGGGTGGGGGGTTAGTGGAAGGTAAGACTGGAAGCTAGATGGAGGCTAGTCTGAGGGAAGCCTTAAGAGTGCATCTTTGTCAGTAGGGAGCAGTCAGTTTTCCCAGAAGAGTAAAGTGAAAGGATCAGAAATACTTCAGAAGGAATAATCCATTTCAGCTTGACTGGAGGAAAGAGGTGTCAAGAAATGAAACTCTAGGGGGGTGAGTGGGCAATGGGGGACAAGGACACATATGTAATACCTTAATCAATAAAGAAAAGGGGAAAAAAGAAATGAAACTCTGGGGAAGCTATTATCTCGCTAAATCCATGCGCAGCAACCTTGTGGAGAGGCCAGGAAAGCGTGAGGGGATCAATCCCCAGAGTAGGTGGTAGCCATGAATGAAAATGAACTGGAGGAGAAGACTACAAGGAGGGCAGCTTGGCTTTGTGATTGGAGGAGGGAGGTAGAAGAGAGCGGAGAGTCAGGTCTGCGTGTGGGTGCCACAACGGGAGCCACAAGGACTCTAAGGACAAAACTTAAAAAAAAAATAACTTTTGCCATTTGCTCAGTGGTAGAGCACCGGCCCTCGGACTGTAGGGTCCCAGGTTCGATTCCATTCAAGGGCGTGTACTTCAGTTGCAGATTCAATCCCTGGCCCGTTTCGGGGGGGTTCGGGGAGTGTGCGGCAGGCAACCAGTCAGTGTGTCTCCCACATCAATGTTTCTCTCTCTGTCTCTCCCCCTCCCTTCACTCTCTCTAAAAATCAATGGAAAAATATCCTCAGGTGAGGACAAACCAAACCAAACAAAAAAACTGTCATTCCCGCTGTAACACAGAACAAGTAGAACAAAGCATCTGGAAATGTTTCATTTGTCGTTTGTTCTAATCGTTTTATTTTTTTTAAAGCCGTCTGTGCTTATCTTTGACTGTGTGCTTTCC